AAATAAATAAAAATACCAGCTGATCGTTTACATGTCATATAGCATTTATGCACACCTACCATTAATACTCATTAACTAACTGGAAACTACAAAAGAATGAAAGGAAACTTGTTTTGAACCAGACCAAATAAGGAACATTAAAGAAATACTGTCAAAATTGGATCTCTTCTGTTAATTGAGCCCAAAATAAAAAGAATTTATATTTACTAAAATTCACACTAAATTCCCCCAGAATGAGGGTCTTCCATTGCACTCTGGTTGGGTTGACCTTTGCAATTGCCCCAAATGTGGGCAACATCAGTGTCCTATTTGTAAGTGTGGGGGTCTATGTTATCACTCACCCTAATAAACAAGCCAAAAACAGACTTTCTTTTGAAATTGTAAAAGATTCCTTGTAAGTACCTCTGTTAGAGTTAGCTCCTTCTTAGTTCCTTAATCCTTCACCAGGGGTCTCTCTCTCCTTGCTATAAATACTGGGTGACCTTTTGCCTCAATCTCTTTTCCCCTCAGGCCTTGGTCCGTATACCACCTCGTGGAGGTGAGGTAATGCTTTTCTCTTCTTTCTTCATTTCAGCTAACTACCAATATGTGAGCTCACCGTACAGTTTCCAAATTCTGGGAACACGCCAAGAACAATACCAATACATGTACGTACGAACACTCAACACAATACACACAGATAATATTCACCACACAAACTCAATGTAACTGTCCCATTGTTTTGTAACTTTTTGTTAATACACATATTTGTTTATATATAATTATCAGTCTTGTTTGTTTTCTTTGTCTTCTTTGGACTTTTTAATTAAGTCCAACATTCTATGTAGCTGGACCCATTGTGAAATTTAACCCCGTGTGTTCTTTATATCTTCACCCCATGGTACTCTCTACACAGATGCTCATCCAACTTTGAAATCGAATAACTCTTGACTTGTAATTTTTCATTCTGAGAGATAGATTAACTAGAAAGATAAACAAATTTTATTTAAAATTTATAATTTCAAAGTGCCAAAATTTAATAAAAAACAAAAAAACAAACTTTTGATTTAAAAATTTTATAATTTCCACAGGTTAATTAATATTTGCAATAAGTAACTTTACATTATTTGAAATTAAAAAAGATCCTAAAATTGAGATGCACCATCTAACTATAAAAACTTATGCCTCATTAAAAAGTGAGTTGCGTCTTTTATGCCATCAAATATGGTAATTTAAAATTAAAAGTGTTTTTTTTTTTTTTTTTTTTGCTACCAGCTCAAAAACCAAGGGAGGTAACTCCTAATGCTTGTTAGAATTTTCTTCACAAATGAGACATTAACAGTACTAGAGTCACAACTGAAAGTTAAATTATCAATGACATCAGAAACAAGAATTTTTTTTTTTTTAATTCTTCACAAGCAATATCAGCATGTTGAGCTTTTGAAATTATATAAACCCACAACACATATTTAGAAAAAAAAAATTAATTTAAAAGTTTAAAATCCATCTTCTTTGGCACATGTGTAGGTACATCGGCATAAACATCACTTGGCAAAGTCCTAAAGGATAAAATGTATCACACAAAGATTTTTTTCCACTTTGTCATTAAGTTTCCTAACATTGTTCTGGTATATAAAAAATTTATATATTGTTTTAAAATATAAATATAAAATATATAAATAATAAATTATATAAATGTAAAATAAAATAAAAATTTATATATTGTTTTCTACCACATTACTCATTCTGTACATCGTTTTGGTTAGAGCCAAATTGAATTTTGGAAACATTAACTCGTATAATGAAATTTGACTTTGTGACAATTGTTTGGCTTGTTTTGTTTTATGGCATATCAATTCTAATGACAACAAAATTCTTATTTCTGGTAATATTTTTTTCTCCAAAAATGTAGAGCTGGTAATATCCTTTGCTTTCAAAAATGTATTGCTGCTAAAAATTTTTTTTACAAAGTATTTCTGGTATTAAAACCTATTTTTACAATTTCATAGTGTTTTGGGGTTAATATTTTTTGCAAGTTGGTATTCCCCCAGGTGCTACCAGATGGATAATGGGTAAACATGGGGAAAACACCAGCAATTAAGAAGTGGTTCCATTACTCCTTAAACCTTTTTGATCAAAGGCCTTTCGGTGATATGGACGAAGCTGTTGTCTTACCTAGGACGTTGATGTAGTTTATTGTCATACCCAGGACGGTGTGTCAATGGTGATAATCTTGTTAACAAAAGTGGGAAGAATTCAATCACACATTTGTTTTACATGGGTAAAATAAAAATAAAAAAGGAAAAAGGATTTTAGAAAATACCTTTTTGCTAAATGAAAATATGGGAAGTGGGTCAAAGAATTTTGGAACTTTTGGGTAATCTTGAATGTTTATCACAAATTCCATGTCTGGAAGGTCTTTGATGATCTTGAGTAGAAAATGTTCAACACCATTGCATCTGGAGAGAAAAAAATTAAAAAGCAGAAAAGTAAATTTTTAAAATATATAATCTCTTGGCATATCAATATCTGTATGGGTCAATAAAATTAAGTGTCAGTTATTTGAATGAAAATTTAGATTAAAAAAAAAAAAAATTACATCAGGATTTAAAATGAAAATTTATTAAAATTATTTTAACAATTAAAAATAATTTCAAAAGCAAATTCACAAAATTAATTGTTAATGGTAGTAGGAGATGGTATGGCAGTGGAAGGAGGAGGAGGGAGAGGGATGAGGCAGGTAGAGGAGAAGATAAGAGTTGAATGAGGTGGGAAGGGAAGAGGATGGTGGTGGGATGAGGGATGGGAGGAGATGGCAGCAGGATGAGATAGGGAGGGGGAGGTGATAGTCGTGGGATGAGAGGGAATGAGAAGAGATGGTGACAAGATGAGGTGGGGAGAGAGAGGGGATGGTGATAGGATGAGTTAGGGGAGGAAACAGCATGAGGAGGAGGCAGTATAAGGAGGAGGCATAGAAGGGGAGGAGACAGCATCGGGAGGAGGCATAGAAGGGGAGGAGACAGCATCAGGAGGAGGCAGAGAAGGGGAGGAGGCAGAGAAGGGGAGGAGGCAGAGAAGGGGAGGAGGCAGAGAAGGGGAGGAGACTACTGTCTTCATCTTTGTTATTATCAAAATGTTTATCAGGGTTTTTAATGAAATTTATTGTTATTATTAAAACTAGTAGTACCTATGAAAATTTTGGTTTTCCTATTTGAATTTTTTTCTTAAATCATAATTCATAAGGTCACGACTAGTTTTACAATGATAAAATAACAGCGAAAATTTCTGTTTCCTCATTAAATATTTGACCTTAAAAAGACGGTGTCAAAATGTAACTTGCTGCCAGATAGAACCTCTGACTTAGGTCTTGTTCCAGACTTAGCTAAACCGAGCAAAGGTTTGTACCAAGAACTAATATTTCTGTACAAAGAACTTTATAAACCCTGAAGAAATTCCTATATTTTCTTTATTTTATCTGCAAGGACATTTTTTTTTTTTATTTTTCCTTTGTGACATAGCTTTACTGGGAAAACACTACAATTGCTGACAACAACTTGATTTTGTCAGCTCCATGATCAATCAACAGATGGAGTGAAGCATAGATCAGAATGACCAATTCCAATGGCTGACAGCAGCATTGACCAGGGACCGACCAGGTGAGAAAGGTTACGCAATTCTAATCATTGCTTAAAAAAAAAAAGCAAAGAACATTGGTGAAGAGTGAAAGTAGTTTAAAAAGTGATGCTATGGGAAAAACAGCCCTTTTCACACTGTAAGCACATTTGTCCATGTTTGCCAAAAAATTTAACAATATACTACATGAACAATCATAAGTATCATAGCAAATCATTTTTGTGGTGTCAACACTCATTGCCACTTTTGTAATGAACACTTTTAATTTTGTAATGTATTGTAGTCAATAATGCTAATCGCAAAATAGTAATGTATATTGACAATACTGGTGTCAGACACCTTCAAATAATATTCACACTAGAGAATATGTAGAGGAAAGTAGAAATAAAGTGATCCATCTAGTAATCAGTAGAGGACTAGTATAGAGGATAGGCTCTGTATAGTAATAGAGGTTAGAGATAGTGAAATTAGATCACACTATATATATAGATTTATTTTAAAATCATGTGATTTACTTATTAGAAATGGCATCATCCATGTTTGCTTTACTGGTAATCTATATGTTCAAACTACAGGTGGAATAGTGATGTCGTTCCATTAAAATGAGAGGGACAAATGAAAAATATTTGAGATGGACAATTTTTTTCCATTTAACTGAAAATCAAAGAAAACACATGATTGTCATCATTTTCATCTTCTAAAATTTTATTTTTTTCTCTATTTAAACCAAACAGCATCTCTTAATGTCTTTTTCCATATTTAAAGAAAATCAAAAATTCAGAATTGTCCATTATTTATAAGATAGTAACAGAGCATAATCCTAGCGAATAAATATGCAGAATTATAATATTTGCTAACCTTTGTGGAGGCCCTCGAAGCAGAGCACATTTATTACTTATTCCATAAGATGTCAAATTCTTTTATGAGGCCAATTATTAAGCTCAGAGGCCAACTATGAAGGAGTGATGCTAGAGCTGTGAAACCTTGCACGCATTAATTTCAAATCTTCTTATTAATAACTGCATTCTTTATTTCCAGGTAAACTGACATCTGATTATTCAAAGACTGTTCATCCTGTTTGTCAGAAAAGTCATCAACAGAAGATATTTTGAACGGTAATGTGATACTTTCCCAGCCAAGTGTTCTATTTCATGTTGGGGAATTTTTTGATAATCAAATGAGGATGATAGGAAGAATGATCATCTAGAGTAAGGCAAAGTCGAAATGCAGAGCAGCCATTTCAAATCAAGAAATTTAATAAATATTTAAAAATTGTCCTGATGAAACAAGACCCTTTCATCAAATATTTCAATGGGAATTGTGAACAGAAAACCTTTTGTATATTTGTAGATATTTCCATTAGTATTTCCAGTGATGGTCCTATTTTATTTTTTCAAACTGATTGATTTGAAGCCAGTTAAAATTGTAGGAAAAAAATAGATTTAAAAAGTATCATACTTTCTCAATTCTCTTAAAAGTTGGATTTCACAATTTAAAAACAAATTTGTCATTCTTGAGGTATTAGCGACTATTGACCAATCAAACTTTTAAAAGGCAGACAACCATTTCTGTGTCATATAGTGAAATAAAAATAAAGTAAAAGGGTACATGCAGTTAAATTGATTTACAATCTTTTTCCTCTAAATTTGTTATTGAAAATTAAAAATATTTTTATTAACCAATAAAAACATCTGAGGTATTTTTTAATTAATTAACTTTTGTTTCTGATTTTTTTAAAATTAAATTGTAAACTAAATTAATAAATGACTCTTCAGTATAACTTTTACTGTGCTGTAAATATTACTGATTTCTCAAATTTTTGTCTATTCAAAAAACTTATTGAGTGCTAAATTTCCATTTGTAAATTATTCTTCATTTTAAAGTACTTTCATAAACTAGACTGCACAGTTTATATTACAAAAATACCCAAACAACAAATTAAACAAAGTGTAGTTGGCAAAAGCTGTACTTGCACTGATACTCAAATGATGGCTTGCCTGCTGCTATGTTTGTGCTACTCACAGATAATATAACAGATTTTCCTGTGATAATCTCACACCTTCATTTTATCTTATATGTTATATCCCAGGCTATTGGGATGAACAAAAACAAATGAAGATTAAAAAAAAAACAAAAACAAGCCTATTTTAATACAACTGTTATTCATTTAATGCCTGAGGACAGCAAGGAATTGTTTGGATTGAAAGCATGAATTCCACATGCATGTAAGCGCTTATCACCATCTTCAATTTAGAAGTTCTGCATTCATCTTCCTGTTGTATCTTGAGTTATCATCCTTTATAGAGGAAAAAAATTAGCTTTTCATAACACAACTCATTTCTTTTGTATAGAACAAAAATTATGAACTTTGCTTGCAAGGAACTTTATAACTGGTTTCTTTCATCTTAAAAGAAAACAAAAATTATTTTCATACCCAATAATAAAATTATTTAAATTTGTAGAGCTCTGTCTGAAGATTTCTTTTCTTTTCACATACTTTTCCCCCTATAGAGTCAATAAACATACAGCCTTTTTTTTTGTGATGTACAGTGGTCGTTAATTATTAAGTATAACTCAAGACTTCAATGTTAAGATAACAGTTTTTAATTACAACCACAAATAAAGAAGTGAAATTCAACTAAAGATAACCATTTCCATGAATTGAAGTTAGTACCTTATTTTGGCTTAATCATTGATGCACAATAATTCACATTAATTTGACTGGAGAGTTTACTCAATTCTTCAGTCAGTAGCCTGACTGCTATCTATACACCTTTTGGATTCTTTATTTCATGTTTAAATCAAGTCAAAGTATTTACTCATTTACTTTAGGCATGAAAAGGAAAATCCCCAAAATCATCCTATTATCACCTTCTTTTGCAGATGAAACAACCTTGATTTAATATATGCCATCAGAAGTGTTTTACAAATTTTTTCCATTTTTTTTTTAATTTGGTTCAATGTGATCAACTCACTCATCCTGAATTAGATAACATTCAAGGAAACCAGCTGGATCTGCCTCAGTGTCAGGTTTTTGTCATGATCAACATCCAGATGCCTGATGTTTAAATTGATCAGGTATTTAAAGAAAAATCTTCCATTTTCATCATGTCAAGTTCATTTTGTTAACATTCTCAAAAATTTCAAAAAAATGGATATATTCGTAATTGGCTATTTGATTTATAATCAATCACCTGTTATCCTTTTCCATAAAAATTAAAGTGAATCATTAGGTCATTTTCACGAGCAGCCAGAATTAAATGAATCCTTTCCTCACTAAGCCCACTTGTTGATAAAGCTGGAGTATCATTCCCTAATGTAGCAACTATGTCAGCTTGAATGCCTTTAGAGGCTAAACCCTTTTTTTTTTTTCCTGCAGGTACATAACATGACACTGCCAAATTTGGCCATTTTCAGAGAAGTTGCTACTAGTTACATTTGAAATCTTCTTTGAACATTCAGATACCAATTTACCTGGAAATAAACAATGCAGTTTTTTGTAAGAAGAGTTGAACAGCTTTAGTATCAGTTGCGAACCAGGGGGTGGGCGTGTGGTATTTTATGTGGAGCGGCATTTTGCAGGTGAAAAAATTGAAGACACAATCATTCATTTTTGTGTTATGGTGTTTCAAAAAAGAAATCTAATATTTTGTTTTTCTTTTTAATTCAATTTTTTTTTTTTCACATTCTTTCCTTTTTCCTTGGAAGATCACAAATACATTACATGCCGTCAGCTTTTAATAAGCTCAGTAGACTGAGATGCTGGTGGCAAAATTGAATAGAACCTGCTGATGAACCATTTTTAAGAGACTAAATAATCAGGTTC